TGTCCTCTGATCAATATCATCGTGATGTACCATACCAAAAACTTGAAAATACACACATAATACATAGCAATAATCGTGATACGTAACAACAAAAAAGGAAAAAAGTCCGCAATATCGTGATACGTATCGTATCGTGACCAAAGTATCGTGATACGTATCGTATCGCGAGGTTCTTGCCAATACTCACCCCTAGTTGGAAGTAACAATGTGTTAAATTCATATTAAAAGTCATATTATACTGAAGTCGTTCCACATTTGTAAAAAATATCATCTGATACTGACGGAACACAGAGTTGTTGATCACACCTAAAATGAGTTTCTGTAGGTGTAAAAACCTTGTAGGGTGTGACACCTTCAGACACTGCATCGGATCAGCACTATTAAATATGTAACTCCTATCAAACAGTGAGCACTGTGCTGGGGATATTACCTGTGTGTAGATGTATTAGTAACTTTTTCTGAAAGCAAAGCCCTCAGCAGCATTATTCATATTCATCCTTCAGCATCTCAAAAAACATTGATGTTTAAAAGTTAATGAAGAATTTAAGATGGTGTACCTTGTGCTTGAATTTGACCAAAACACATGTTTTGCTTTAAAGCAGCCACTGCATGAACTGTAGCTTCTTTTAACATACCTAATGTTTGCTAAAAAAACTATTACAATTATGATGATGTGACATTTTTCGGGGTCTGTATCAAACAAACATGTTTTCTTACATCTAGAGAGCAAGATTTGTAGGCCAGGGTATCTCTCTCTTCTGGAATTTGCATATTGCGATTGCGATAATATTACTATTAATTGTGCAGCCCTAATTTCTTAGTTTCCCCTTTAATGTACAATATAGTTATGTAATGGTCCAGAGTACAGAAAGGCTTCAACAAAACCAAGGCCTTCACTGCAGTCCTCCTTTCTCTCAGAACGCTGAATAAAGTTAAGATATGTTTGATCACTAAGCACTTCACAGGGCCTTGTGTATTCCGTTCCTTTATATTAGACAAACGTTTGCTGGAAGAAAAATAAAGATTTGACACACAGGCAGCATTGTTGTACTCTGCATGTGGCAAAATGCACCTTAATGGCCTTGGGCACTCACACAGCTTATCCTGTTGATGTAAATATTTTCATGTAACCAGGTGATCTTTTTTAAAGCAGCAAGGGGGAAGGCTGGAATGAAATATAAAAGAAATAAAAGGAATAAAAAAACAGACCTCTCCTTTTCCTAAGGGATAAAATAAAATAAAAACACAGGATCCTCCCTTCAGCAAAAGAAAAGAAAATAATAAGCCTTCCACTTTTCTGACCCTCCTCTCTCTAATAATAATTTCATACAGTTTCTTAACATTGCTTGCAAGCTTGTTGGGGAAAACCTAAACATAAGGCTCTCTCATGTTGCATATTTTGTAGTGTTTTCCCAGGGTACTGCCTCCTGTAGGTTCAAGTAAGTAGAATAAAGGTAAGTTAATTTACTATATTAAATCTATATAATATAGTTTATGTATATTAAGCATAGTTAAGAGACTCGTTATCTCATGTATGCTGTTTCAAGTAGTGTGAAAAGCAGCTCCTGACACTGACTTGTTGCTGATATATAGGCCTACTCTAAAGTGTATTAACGCACAGACTTGTTTTCATTTCTTTTTAAATCACAGGGTAAATAAGGTAAAAATGAAGGATACAGAATTCATGTGTTTTAGCCATTCTATAACTATTACTTCCATATATTCCAGCGACTTAAAGTAGTTTGCAAAATAACATATGAAAGTGATGAAAGAGGGAGTATCTTACTGGCTCTCCTCTTAGAAGTGTGTATATGATATTTACCCAAAACACTGTAATCACATCCATTAAATAAACCCTTCCCTTTTTAAGACATCATTTTCCTGGCAATACAGGACAATACAGCACTTGCTCACAAACTGTCATATAATTTACTGGTAGGCCTAGTTTTGACTTTTCTCTCTCCACATTAGCTCGCCTTTTTAGCACACTTGGCTGTTCTCACTCCATCAACTAACAATGCTGTGCATGTATTTAACAACCAAAACAAAAAAATGTGATCATTAATAGGCTGTTTTAGGGGTGTAAGATAATATAGTTTTGCGATATTTTGTTTTGTATTGATTCTCAAACACTGTATTGATTTTTAGTTGGATAGCAGTGTTATAAACCTAAACTGAGGGCTATGATTTTGCCTGCAACATCCATCAGACTATGATGAATACAAATACAGATCCTGCTGTTCTGGTTGCATAAAAAAGTCAACTTTACCTAAGTTTTAATGTATATGGCGGTTTTTCTTTATACCATGACAGTTTTCTTAAAATCAGATTTTCACTTTACTTACAGTATCACAATTTATCGCAATATATTAAATAGTAACCCCTATATTGTGATACCTATCCTATCGCTAGATTCTTGGAATACACAGCTCTAGGCTGTGTGCATGTAGATATGAACATTTACAGAATTTTTAAAAAATAGACTGTGTGCTGAAAAGATCGCTGCAAGTCCATTTCACTTTGCGTCTGCGTTGTGGAAACAGTCTACACTGACTGATAAACAAAAAAGTTTGAATTCTGACCTTTTTTTTTTTTTTTTTTACTTTAAACTCTTGACTTTAAATTTTCACATTTGTCCCTAATCCTCTTCCCTACACCCAGGAGCTAAAATACAATAATAGTTTAATGGATTTTTGGTAATTTATATTAAATTCTGAATGTGTTTCCATGACTGGAAAACTAGTATCTAAACTTTCCAGATTTTCCACGTGTGGATGTGAATAAGTCCTACTTACAATTGTAAGTGAAATAAGGTATGGAGGTATGTTTCTAATGGACATCAGAAAAAATAAATGTTCAAAGGGGTCAGCCTCTAAAGAACAAGCAGAGCAGGTAGAGTACTATGCAGGCTACAGAATGTGTAACCTGACACTCCACACAGAGCCATGTGGAGCCTCCACAGGAACCTGACTTCTCAAACACAATGTAACCAATTATATGAATAATGCCTGGATTAGTTTAGTTGTTACAAGCCTTGGGTACCGTATTTGTAGGCTTTACTGACTCACTGCCTGGCATGGGACAACAACATGAAGCAGCTATGTGTTTTAACTTCTACTTTTAGTCTTTTTAATAATGTATGAAAGCTGCGCCGATCGTCTCATTTCTGTTAAGACAAACACAGCCCAAACGGGTATTTCTGACACAGTTCACATGTCGCAATCAACTTCCCCTCTCTCTCTCTCTCTCTGACGCACACACACACACACTGCAGTGTCCCTGTCCTGAGGGGGTGTGTGGCTTTCATAAACCTCCTCCTCGGCTCCATTAGCTCACAGTCAGTCAGGAACTTTCCAACACTCTACAGGACTCTATTGGACTCTATTGCTTCACCTGATACACATACCGGGACTTTTCTCCAGCCATGAGTCGGGTTTCTCCGCCTGTGTTTATGTTGCTAGTACTGATTGCAGTGAGTACAAGGAGTTTCTGTATTGTTTTTTTGGACAGTCTTGTTAATTCCTAATTCTGCCTTATAGTGGATTCAGTTTCTATGGCTGTCTGAACTCAAAAGATACAACTCAGTTGGTTTTTAAACAGACACATAACATAACTACATAACTTGGTCTAAGCAGACTGGGCGAGCTACCTGTAGCAAAAGATACTCTTTGTTTCCATACAAAGAATATATTCATTTGTCAGAAAGCAAGAGTTAAAGCATCTTTGTCCTATTCTTCAAATAGAATATAATGTTTAGGTGTGTTTACTGCCTCACATTATAGGCTAAAATATTTTCAGATCATTTGGCTCAGCTCAGCAATAAGAGTTGGCTCTTTAGGCTCCCAACTGGGTAATTTAGTACCACTGCTGGCCTTTTATAATTCAGACAAATTTAGCAATTTCCTGACCTATAATTGGCATATGTACATATATCACATAACCTTATGATTTTCAGAATTCTAATTTTACATAATTTTACATTATGTTTGGTATAAGAACCTTAAATGCCTAGCGCAACATACAAAAGTCTCACCATGCCTGGGTCTTAATGTTATTACCAAAGTGAGACATTTCTGAATCGTATTATTAATGAAGATTTTATAGGATCATCCTATTATTGTATTCATTCATTTTGAAAAAAAGGAAGAAATCAGCTCCAGTCGTTTGCTTAAAGGTCTCATCACTAAAAATGTCACATAATTTCATTCTTTGCATTTGTTTTGTATAAAATCTTTATCTTATTATAATTATGAAAATATCAAGCTGTCACAAAGCTTACATAATGTCATGGAAAGACTTACACATTTGAAAAAACAAAGTAAAACTAATCACCCTGAATCAGATCCGATCCCATTCTGAATTTAGATATCTGCTGTGTAGGGCAACATCAGGCTTGGGTTTTCGAACTTTGTAAAACAAAATGTAACAGATATATACAGGAAAATAAATACAATATATATCCTGCCATGGTCCTGCTTGACTACCATTACTAAAATCACTGATATTATTGTTATTATTATTTAGTTATTATTAAGATATTAATTATTGCTACAGTTACTGTTGGTTCGCTGCTCGGCTGTCCCCCCATCGTTGCTGCTGTTTCATCGTCATCGTCTTTTCATGGATCGTCATCGATCATTATATTAATGTAGTTGTTGCTACTGTTGTTTGCTGTACATTCTGTCTCTCTCTCTGTTTCTCTCTCTCTCTTCTCACCCCCAACTGGTCGGAGACAGACGACCACCCACCTAGAGCCGAAGGGCGTCTGTCCTAAGGTTTCTGCCTGTTAAAAGGCAGTTTTTCCTTGCCCCGTCACCAAGTGCTGGTCATGGTAGGTACTGTTGGGTCTCTTGTAAATGTATAAAAGCAATGTTAAAAGGAGTTCGGTCTAGACCTGCTCTGAGTTAACTTCTGTTATGAATTGGCGCTATACAAATAAAAAAAAAATTGAAATTGAATTGAATCAATATACTGAATTTTTATTCAATAATTAATTGTACACAGGTATACACTTAAATTGTAATTCCTGTCCCTTTTAAAGAATTGCCAGTTAAAGCTCCAGTGTGTAACATTTAGGAGGATCTATTGTCAGAAATGGAATATAATATTTATAGGTATGTTTATGGGATATATATATTTATGTGTATGGAATAATAGAATTATACATGACTTTTCTTTGTTTTGATATTGTCTGCATTATATATCAACCATTGGTCTCTCTAAATATCGGCGTTGGCCAGGAATTTAAATTCCAGTATAAAACTGTATCAAATGAGAACAAAATGTAAACATTAAATCGCAATTAAGTTACATACTAGTGCAAATAAACATAATGAATAAATTCGCTTTGCATCATTACATAATGTAGCAACGGCCCTCATTTCCCATCATGCCTGGTGCTTGACAGTTAACATTTCTGTTTTATATTAGAAAATGCAAATGCTACTTTATGTTTTAGTGTTTGTGATGTGTCTCTTCAGAACATGGTGCTATATTTGGAGGTATGTCTATGCTGGTTCATAGATTCAACCATTAACCATTAGCCAGCTCAGCTAATGGCTGTATTTTGCTGTTTGAGTAAATCACAGTCAGTGCTGACGCATGATGTTATACATGCACGTAGACACAAGAATTGAATTAAATAGATTTTTCCCATTAGACCGATACCCGAGCCAGCTATCTGAGTCAGTATCTGGCTGATATCATCTGTATCGGATCGGTACATTCCTGCTGGAATCCTTTGAAGTCACACTGTGTTCTTTTACAAGCATGTTTTTTGTTTAGACTTTCTCACTTCGAGACGGGAGGCCACTCCCTTCTTTTTATGTCATAACACATCTTCTGTTATAATAACATGCCTATGCATTGACTGAATGGATGAGGCTAAGTGAAATCTCCTGGGTAGGGTGTGTCAGCTGCACGGTACCTGAGGTGGATGCCTTTACACACTGGCCCTCACAGTACAGTTAAATCTCAGGGTCACAGTGCTCTACACAAAGTTCAACCTGACTGAAATGAAGACAACATCGTCTCTGCATGACCTTGTGTATTTTCACTATGTAGTTACAAGCCTGCTTTAAGTGCTGGGTTCTCTGTAAAAACAAACAGCCAAATGTGAAAAACACTCAAATCAGGAACTTAGTTCAGATTATACATCTGAGGCATGCTGACTGTTTTCATATGTCAAATTGGCACAGGAGTGGCAAAAGTGGCAACAAACCGAAACCAAAATGGCGCCAAAGACACCATCTTAAAGCTGAAGTAGTTCACTTTTATAAAAATAACATATTTGCTGAAACTTTCAC